GCCAGGTCTGCCATAGCACCTCTCATGGCATCCTGGAATCCAATCGGATCCAGTAGCCTTCGAGGGCGGACCATAACAATAGGTCCCTGCTCCCTGCAAGGGGGGAGGGCCATGTTGAGGTTACATTTTATTAGGTGATGATCCGACCATGGCAGAGGGACCGACTCAAGGTCAGTCACCATCAGACCACTCTTGCTCCAACTGGAGGAAAAAACCAGGTCGAGTGTGTGGCCGCCCACGTGGGTGGGGCCGATGACATGTTGGGACATGTTCAAGAAGGCCATGGTCTCCAAGAAATCGTAAATCACCTGGGCCTTATTGGATACCAGGCCCATTTCCATCAGAGCTGTGGGAGCTTGCAGACAGTTGTGAGAGAGTTTTTCACATGATCACTTTTACGCTGTTATAAAATCACAGAAATCCAGTTCTACATGGATACCAAATGTAAAGTTTTCCTGAAATAATAATGGTATTCTAAATAACTTACTTTTAACCTGCTGATGTTACACTTCTTAGTCAATGCAAACTGCATGTCTTGACTGCTGTCATAAGATTTCACCTCTGTTGTACCATGAGAGCATTAAACCACTTTCATTCTAACTAGCTTCACCGACAGCTGCTTTGATAAAGTTGCACCTGATGCAATTAAACTGATCATAAAATTACTAAATACCCTGCATCTGTCAGAAGTTTGATATGTTCTGCAAATATTAGAACAAAATCAGGGATGTTGGCAAGTCTTTGGGTACGAGTCCCAGTCCCATGTCTGAGACCCTATTTAAAACAAGTTGTTTTCCCCAGGAAAAAAGAAGAAGGGGATGAGCCCCTAGTCGCGTCCGGGTCATTGAAAAAAACCAAACAAGTTGAGTCTGAGTCAAGTCACTGTGTGACTTAAGTCTGACTTGACATTGAGTTCTCCAACTTGAAATCCCATCCCTGGAAGAAACCCTCCCTCTAACATGTAGCTGGAAATATTTGTTTTTTCTCAAGAGTAAGATTGTGGATAAATTGGGGGGGGGGGTTTGTATTCTTCCATTTTAGCAGTGCTTACAAATCTGATATTGCTTTCTATTTGTAGTCCTCCTCTGCCTTCTTCTCTCTGTCTTCTGTGCTCTCTCTGCAAACTGTTGACTCTTTTGATATTGCTACTTTGGCTCAAAATAGATATACAGCTTTAGACAGATTGAGCAAAATCTAACAGTAGCATTCTTTTGGAGGAAGACAAGCAACATCCAGGAGATCCGGGCTTGTGGGGCATCCAGTATGCCCTGAAAAACTTTTTCCGTTCTCCAGGACTGGAAAAGCACAGGACGTGGTGTTCAGACAAACTGTGGTTGAATGTGACCTTAAGACTTCAGACAAAGAACACACTTCTTTCTGTGAGCAACTGAAAGGATCTGCAGTCACCTCAGAGATATTATTGTACATGACCTAATCAAATTCCCCTGTTGTTACTCTTATTTGATCCATAATCCGATAAGATTATTTAAACCATCTGATTAATAATTAGCCCTATCAGCTGTATCTTTACACATCCCTAGCATTATCTGGCTTCTAGTGTTTAGGATCCAAATAATCGCTTCTTATCACCATAATTGTGTTCATTGGCTTACCTAGTGCCAGGACAGTTCTGAAACCAGAAACTCTGGTGAATGGCCAATGTTAATCATGTAATCTGCATCATTGGTCCTGCATAATTTTCAATTCTGTCTGACCTTCCTGTGTACTAATTCTGGATACCACTTCATGCATGTGAAGATATGTGTGTGCATGTTCTGCACAATCAAATCGGAACTGATTTGTACTGACTACAGATGGGGTATCTAAGAAGTAGTTTTATCACAGTGTGACACTGTAGCTCTTCCAAACTCCTTTCCTCAACCTTTCTTTCTCCACCACTGGGTAGCTGGGGTTCATCAGCCTTGGGAGGCAGCCCATCTAGAAGAAGGAAAACTCAGATTTCAAACCTCCACTGCCTTGTGGCTATATCCATCGATGGAAAAGGCTTCAGGAGTTAACCTCGAGGCAAAATCTGGAGCTGGAGTCCCGGAGGCAGTTCATGTCGTTCTGTCAACTCCTGCAACGTCGCTAGAACCAGTTGTATTGGCTCTTGCCCTTCCATTGGACCATGTCAGCAATGTGGAGAGGGGGGATCTGCTGCTTGGGTAACAGCCTACCCTCCATTTTACTTTACCCAGGCTTCATGCTCTGGAGCGGACACTCCAGCTCCTCCATACAGAGTATGTTACCATAGTCTCTCGAGACTGAAGGATGCCTAAGAAGAGTTTTATCAGTTCTACTCCCCAGTCAGTTTCCATGGCTTAATGGGGGTTCAAACCAGAGTCCTAGTCCATCATTCTATTCCCCTACATCACACTGCGAATCACATTTGAAGATGTAC